CCGCTCGCGGCCCCCGCTGCCTTCGGAGGGAGGAGAAGAGGGTTACGGCGCGGCCCCGCCCGGCGTGGCGCCGCCGGCACGGCCGTCGGCACCGGGGCCGGCGTGGGGCACCCACGGTGGCACCGACGGTGGCATCATGGTGTGGGTGTCGGCATCGCCATGGCATCACCATCGGTGGCACCGTGGTGTCACCAGTGGCGGCGCTGTGGTGTGGCCATGGCGTCACCGTCGGCGGTACCGTGGTGGGACCGTGGTGTCACTGTTGGCGGCACCATGGTGTGGCCACGGCGGCACCGTCGGTGGCACCAGCAGCAGCAGCGTGGTGGGACCGTGGTGTCACCATGGTGTGGCCGTGACGTCACCATGGGCGTCACCGTCAGCGGCACCGTGGTGGGACCGTGGCATCACTGTTGGCATCACTGTGGCGTGGCCATGGCATCACTGTTGGCATCACCATCGGCAGCACTGTGGTGTCACCGCTGGTGTCACGGTCAGTGGCACTGTGGCGTGACCATGGTGTCACCATTGGCGTCACCATCAGCGTCACCACGGTGGGAGCACGGTGTCACCGTTGACATCGCTGCTGTCGGCACCGCGGCCCGACCATGGCGTCACCATCGGCGTCACCACAGCGCGGTTGGTGGTATGGCCATGGTGTCACCATTGGCGTCACCGCTGACATCACCAGGCCGTGACCACGATGTCACCAGCGGCGGCACGGCTGGGGCGTGGCTGGGGCGTTGGCGGGGGGGGGGGGTTTATGACTCGTGCACGCACAACCCTCGTGCGCGCGTGGCCCTGGCACGCCTGTGGCCCTAGTGCAGGCACTGCTCTCGTGCACGCATGACACGCACACACGGCCCTCGTGCCGCCGCGGCCCCTCGCACGCTCGCGGCCCTTGTGCACACCCCGGCCCTGCCCCGTCGCCATCACTTATCCCCGGGCCAATTAGTGTCGCTAATTAGTGCGGTGGTTATGCGGGTTTTAGCTTCGTTTATGCTGGTTTAGGGCACAGGGCGGCAGCACTCAAAGGGTTAAAGCGCGGTTTAGGGGGCGGTTAGGTTCGTTAGCGTCCCTTTAACCGGGGTTAGCGCGGGTTAACCAGGGCTGGGGGGGCCCCGGGACAGCGAGGTCCTGAGGACGTGGGGCCCGGGGGCCCAAACATCTGGGGCCCAGATGCCAGAGTCCCCAAACATCTGGGGCCCAAACATCTGGGGCCTGGACACCGGGGGGCCCAAACACCTGGGGCCCGGATGCCGGGGTCCCCAAACATCTGGGGCCCAGAGGCCAGGGTGCCCAAACATCTGGGGGCCCGGGCAGGGCCCGGGCGTGGGGCGGGGCGGGGGGGTGCTCGTTAGGGCGGCGCTGACGAGTTACCTTTGTCGAGCAGCCACTCATCGACCACCCGCCCCAGGCGGTAGGGGATGCGCTGCCGCGCCCGCG